CACTCAGTTCAGTCCTTCCTGCAGGCTCCTGGGCCCCACTCACAAAGCTACTCCCTCCACCAGGAACCGGGTGAGTGCTCACCAGCGTGCAAGTCAGTTTGCCGGCTCCACTGGTTCTCCAGCTGTTCTCAACCTCACCAAGTTGAGCAAAGAGAGTCCTCACTATTTTCTACTTCCAGCTATCGTAGAACTCCTCTTCCCGGCAAAGTAACTTGGGCTGGTGAGAGCGGTGTGGGGCCAGAGGGTCTCTCCCCCAACCAGAGAAGCCTCCCCACCGCTGAGGTGACCCTCACGGGGTTTGCCCTCTCTCGTCTCCACCCCTCCTACCAGACTTGACATGGCCTCCTCTTTAAGTCCTTTATTTAGAGGTTCTGCTCATCTAGTGTCCAGGGAACTTCTGAGGTTGAATATCTTATAAATTATTTGTAATTTTGGTGTGATCCTGGGAGGCAGTCAGCACAGAGTCTGTCTATTCCACCGTCTTACCGGAAGTCCAAATAGTTATATTTTCAATACTTATAATATTAAAGCATGCTTATGACTCAATTTTGTGTTAATTAGAAAATACAGTGGGACGTGTTTTCAACATGTAGATTTAGAATTTCTTAACTAGAGAAGGGGGTTGAGTCCCTTTTAAATAAAGTAAATGTCCTCTAAAACAGAACGTCTTAAACCTTATACATACCTGTGATTTCTTGTTAAAATGAAGACCCTCAAAAGTAGATGTAAGGTGGAAACTGCTGTTTTGCATTTGTAATAAACTCCCAGGGATATCAGTGAAGCTTGACTCCTGGGAAAATATTAAAAAGCAAGATAGTTTCATATAGAAGAGACAGATGCTCCATTCACATTTAAGTTTTTTATTTTTTTCATCAAAAAAGCTTCCATTCTTTGTCAAATTATTTCTACGTATGTAAAATAGTTACCTAATTTTACTATTTTCTCAATCATTTAATAAACATTTCCTCTTATGAATCTAGACTTGATGATGATGGTTGGAAGCACATCTAAGTGAATTGTAACTGGCAAAATTCTGAGGGATGTAAAAACAATGATCATCCAGGCTGCCTGCTGTCAGTTCCCCATCATCACTCTCACTTGTGGAAGCACATTTCTCAGAACCCGTTTACCCTCTATGATTTCCCATAGAGATTATCAGTGAGGGGTCCTCCTTGAGATTTGGAGTCAGAAAGGGAGGATTCAATATTATCCATCAGTTCCTGCAGGCAGACTGGAGGACTGGAGAATCTCTGCTGAGTTGAGAGCATCAGCACCTCCACTCCTGGGCTTCCCCCACAGGTCTGGGGACCACATGGTTAGACAGCCTCTGTCTCCAAATGGGATATTTTCTCTTGTTTCTGGGAGAGAACCAGGGAATCCCTCATTTCCACTGTCTGCTTCCCCTGTTATTAATTGTGAAGGCCTTCAAAACGTTGCACTTTAGTAATTAATTGCCTATATTAAGCAACTCCTTTTTGAAATACCCAGAGTAGCTTCTTTTTATTTTATGAATTCTGACTGATATTGTAGACCAGAGAGCTCTTGTGTGATGCTCTCTATTCTTTATAAATTCAGGAGACGCATTGTATGTGCCACTGAGGCTGAGGAAAGACAGGGAGTTAGGGTGCAGAGGAGCCATCCTGGCCACTTCTATTAAAACCTTCAGTCACCATCGAAGAGTGGATGCATCTGAGAAGTGTGCTCAGCTGATTGAGGCCCAAGAGGAGCAGCTGGGGCAGCCAACTTTCAGCTGTCTACTTTGTGGTTTATGTTCAAGCTTGTGACACTGTGAGAGGCCAACTGCTATCCTGTTGACAGTAATAAGTTGCAAAATCTTCAGGCTGCAGGCTGCTGATGGTGAGAGTGTAATCTGTCCCAGATCCTTGGCCACTGAACCTCGAAGGGACTCCGGTGTGCAAACTGGATGCCCTATAGATCAGGAGCTTAGGAGATGTCCCTGGTTTCTGCTGATACCAGTTTAACTCATTGCTAATGCTCTGACTGGCCTGGCAAGTGATAGTGACTCTGTCTCCCAGTGATGCAGACAGAGAGGATGGAGACTGGGTCATCTGGACGTCACATCGGGCTCCTGAGAATGGAAACATGAAAACAAACATCTGTACTCTTAATGATGTTACCATGTCTTATAACTACCCTGCAGTCTAAGTGGTACTGACCACACTGGCAGAGTAAATCCCCCAAGTGCTCCTTCCTTACCTGGGAGCCACAGCAGCAGGAGGCTGAGGAGCTGAGTCGGGACCCTCATGTCCATGCTCCGTCCTTCCTGGGACTGATTCCTGCACAGGGTGTGACCACACTATTAATATGTCCAGGGTTGTGGGTTGCACCCCAGTCACATGCAAATAAGCAGGGGTTGGGGCAAGTTGGGCACAGCTGCAGGGCTGACTGGTCTCAATAACACAGCACAGTCACTGTCTACCAGGTGTCCAAGCCCAACCAGGGCAGCACATGTTTGCCTGTAAGAAATGTGTTTCTCCTTGGCAGTCACAAGAATCATTCTACCGTCCTATGACTATAGTGTTTTTGCTCTGTTCAAATTTCAGGACATGCTTCTCTTGCTATTTGTTTATCTAAAACAGGGACACTCGAGTATGACAAAACCCTAGTACTTGCAAGAAATTTTGCCCACTCTTTACATTGGTACCTGTGAACCATGTTGAGGACAGCAGACTTATTTTTGGGTTGAATTATTACACCTTTGGTATATAATAAATTAACACTATTTGCAACCAGAGATGAAATGAGGTGTAAGAGTAATTATCTTTTAAAAAAGAGAGTTTTATGATTGGTAAGGAAGTGCCCAGTGACTGAGTATCTGTCATTGCTAACCTGTCATCTCTAGCTTACTGATCTGTCCTTTCCATTACTGAGTGCTCTGACACACCACTTGCATCTAGGCCAGCCACCGTCAGGGATATTATCCTCCACATCTGAAATATGTCAGCTACCTTTCCTCTCTGCAGGCCTTTCCCACACTCATGCTACATGTTCCCTGAGCTCCTGGGTTACTGCTTGTGCCTTGCTTGCTTCTCAACCCAAGCTATCCTCTTTAGAAGCTGAAGGCTTCCCTAGGTGAAGTGCTTATGTTTAACCCTGACACTACTGTGTTCCCTAAACCTGCATATTCTTCATCACCAAAACTCTTCCAGCTTCTAAGAGAACACAGTTTTTAGTGGTTGAATGCAGGGCCTTGGGCACAAGCAGGGTGATGAGAAAACCTCACAGGAAGGTGAGGGTGGGAGCCTTGCACAGGGTATTCGAGCCCACCCGGTATGGAAAAGGCATTCATGTGTGATAGAGGGGAACCCAGCATGGAGCTAGAATGGATGAGCACTGGTGTCCCACATGGCAGTGATGGCACAATTAGACCAGTACATGTGTTAAGGCCAAAGAAAGAAGAGGACAATCACCTAGACAGGGACACTTAGCGCAGTGTCAGAGCCCAGGCATGGATGTGAGGGCACTCATGCAGAAATGCAAAGTTGGCAGTGGACTGACCAGGGTTTCAGAGCCAGAACAGGGTATGTGGGTGGATGTATGAGGGAAGTTCTGTGCAATGGGGATTGTAGTTAGCTGTAACAGCAGGAGATTGGTTTCATTCAAGAGAGTTGATGATCATATAAGCCAAAGTATTAAGAATAATTAGAGACAAAATTCTCACTTTTGGAAAAAGGAGTTACAGATACAGAAAATTCCTATGATAAACTGATTTCGGATTGAAACTGGAGATATCAGGGTTATGTATAGCTTACATATGAAAGTGTGTGTTGATATATAAATGGATGATGGATGCATAGATAGATTTTTCTAAGCCTAGTACCAATGACACCCACATTCTAAGAAGCACCCACGGTGCCGGTTCTTGGTTTCTAAAGACTGTTTTCCACTAAAACAAAGCACTAGTTCTTAGAGAAATTATTCATTGCAGGTCTCGAATAGAGAAAACACAATATAACTCTGAACTATTTGGACCAGAAATTAGGAAGTGCTTAAAAATGATGAGGTGAAAGACCCCAGTTGGAATGGGACTATTATTTGCCCAACATGGGAATTTGGGGAATCAAAATGAATTGTGATCATAACTCATTAATGGAAATATGAGCCCATGATTTTATACTGACAATGTGATGAGGAATAGGATAGTCATAAATATTAAGGACTTTTCCCCAAAAAAATTCTTATTAATTTCAAATTTCTTAAGAACAGCTGTGCAGGGGAAAAGTCTGGCAGATACCACCATGACCCAGGGATTGAAGTGGCATCATCATTAATGGGACAAATTGGAATATTGGACCACCTAATAGGATGCATTGAGAAGAGCAGACAATCACTTTCAGATACTCCTGCCAGAGATGCAGTAGCTGAATCTGATCATGAGGGAAAATTAAGCAAGTCTAAATTGAGGGACATCCTACAAAATAATTGGTATTCATCTTCAAAAGTGATAAGATCCTTAAGATCAAGGAAAGAATTATGAACTGTTCCAAAATGAAGGAGACTAAAGAGATATGGACAAGTAAGGCTACACGTGAATCTGGACTGGATTTTTAATTACAAAAGATAATGTTGGGATATTGTCAAAACTTAAAATAGGCCTGAGGACTAGATGGTTTAATACATACATGCTGATTTCCTTATTTCGTGGTTGTATTTGGTTATATAGGAGAATGTCCTCTTTGCGGGGAATACATAGTAATGTGTTAGAGGGTCAGGCTATCAGGTCATCAACTTACTCTCAAATGGCATAGGAGCAGAGGGGAAAGCACTAAGTGCTATACCTACAACATTCTGTAAAAGTGAGGTTGTTTTGAGATTTTATAAAAGTACCAAAAGCAGTTCTTAAGAGCATGTTGAAGGTATTAAAAAGCATTTTACTGCCATTATGCTTATTATAGGGCCAAGTCATTTACTGCAGATACACAATGATAATTATTAATATCATGTTTCCCCAAAGGTGTGTCACACATGCATCACTTTCCAAAGCCATAGGTCTCAATTTTTCAGTGAACTAAATGGGGTATATCTTATTATTGAATTGGGCTCCTTCATATTTTACACCCTCTCCTGACTTTGGCCTTACTTCCCAAAGGCCATCAGCAAGAAAGCTCTGACTATTGATGCTAGACCTGATTACCTCAAAATAAATTGCTATTTTGTTTTTTTTCTTCTCTCCAACTAAAGAAGATGACCTTTGAATTAGAGTCTTGATTAAGATATTCCTGAAATCTTAGATCAGCTCAAAGCCTGTGAGCATCAACTCTCTTTAATTTAAAATGAAGACCAAGATTATATCACCTGGGGGGAATTGTTGTGAATATCAGAGAGGACAGGATAAAAAGGGATCTGGAGACAGAGATGAACCCAGACATGTTATTACTGTAACAATGCAAGAGAGTCCTTAAACCCTCATGTGGTGGCTACAGCCTAGGAGAACCTTTTTATGCCCAGAGGTAGTGGACTCTCATGATGCATTGATGATGGCTCAGGGATTGGCTGTTACATACATAAATGTTATTTGATGCCTTTGATATCTTTATTTTCCAAACATATTCTAAAAATCTACATTAAAAGTAGCATTCTTCTTATTTAGGAATAAATTCACAATTTATAATGAGGATTAGATTGTGAAATGCATATGAAATCATAGCTAATCAAAACATGTGTACCATTACTGCTACCAATTTTGCTAGTATTATTTCCATTAAAAAGTGTGTGTGTGTGTGTGTGTGTGTGTGTGTGTGTGTGTTTTCAAGCTCTTTCTATCTTCTATACTCATTCTTGAAGAAGATCATAGTCGATTTTAGGCTTGTGACTGACATAAAAGAAATTGAATTTAAATAAGAGGTTAAAGATTTTTATTCAATTTAAAATAAAAAATATTTGTGACAACCTTATGAAATCATGAAGTTTCTCCTCAAAAAATACTGATATATAGAATTTTGACCTACTTTTCATGGTTTTCCAGGTTAAAGACAGACCTATTTAAAACAATGGTTCATATATGTTTCTAGTACTTAACATTGTAGGGTGAAAAATAAAATGGCAATGTTTTTCATGTCATTATCAAGTTAGTTTGGTTAAGATTTCAGGATATTTGGCAAATTTCCAGTTGTAATTAGCAGAAACCTCAACTTACATTGAATTAAGTAATAAAGGGAATTTGTGTACTTAAACAAAGGAAAAGTCCAGAGTGTTTTGGCTAGCCCAGATTTATTGGGTCTCTCAAGAAAAGAGGAATTCACTCAGATCTATAGGTTCTGCAGGTAAAATCTGCTGGCGAGGCCTTGGCTTGACTTCCGAGTCTCAAGAGACTTTTTAAAGTCCAGTCTGATATTCCTTATGAGAAGATCCAACAATGCAGACTTTTAAAAAGCTTATGTGATCCATCACTATTCTTGTTGCACTTATATAAATAGTCAGGTGAAATGTAATGAGATTACATTTTTTTTGCAAACAAATCAGTCTTTCTGTGGTTATGCTTGATAGAAATGATGGTGACTATAGAGAGAAAATTATGTCAAAGAGAAATTACAGTGTACCCTTAATTAAGGATTCTAGCCTTAATCATTGTGTTGGAGGTGTTGACATCCACCTGCAAATCAGACTGGATCCTGTATTTTTGTAGTTTCCTCGAAGTAGTTTGAATATAACTCTCCAAATTAATGTTTTCAAATTTCTCCCACCCTTATTACTTGGAATCACTAAAGCCTAAAATTATCATTTTCTGAAGCCCTACAACGGAACCTGGATGATTTCAATAAAAGCTTGTAAAGTTCCGGGCGGGCCGAGTGGCGTGATGGTTGGGAGCTGGCTTGGGACGCCAGGGGGCCCCGGTTCGGATCCCACATGTGAGGGCCAGTGACACTGCCCTCTGCGGCTGAGATGCTGAGCAGCAGCTCAACCTGGAGCTGGGCTGCCATGGGTCACCAGGACGGCATAGGCTGTAGCCCCTGTGGCAGTGGTTTGCTGTGGGCTGCCGTATGTGGCCGACAGCCGGGGTGGGCGGCCGGCGGCCTGCAGTGAGCGGCCATCCAGCAGCCAGCGGCTGATCTGCCTCGCCAGGGAAGAGCGCAATGATGGTGACAACTTGTGCCAGTGGGGCAGTGTCCTCCACGGCTAGACTGAGGAACGGAATGACAGCAACTTGTCTGTTCCCCTTCCCCCAATTCCCCAGCATTGTTCCCATCCCCCACAATTCCCCAATAAAAATCTTTAAAAAAAAAAAACTTGTAAAGTTCAAAGAAAGCACTGCAGCAGATGATATATGGGCAACTTTTGTGCCTGGTGTTATGTGTT